ATGATGGTTTACTGCATGTTATTTTCTGTATACCAGTGTTGTTTCCTTTAGCCTAAAAAGGGCCTTGGAGAGAAGGTTGACTATTGGGTCAATAGGAAATTGTTATTAGAATTACAAAATGTCAGAAAACCAGGCTATCAACAAATAATGAAATTCACTTATAATATGTCCAAACAGCAAGCTTTGGGACCTTTAGAAGTCAGTTAACTGTAGGCCTCACTTCCCTTATCTGTAAGACAAGAAGAATAAATGTGATGATCTTTGAGGTTTCTACAAGTGCCAAGATGCTGTGACTTTTAGTGATCAAATTTCCTTGGTTTCTTATATCCTTTTCAGGTAAAATAATTAGATACACTAAAGAGGATGAAGGTGGAGGTTAGTAAATATATGCTTAGCACAGCTGATGATGTAAGAGACAAATGTAATTACAGATTTTTTTGAACTATTATAATCTGTGAATTTCTCTGATCATATAGTTAGAATTTCTTGTGTATTTTTCATATAAAAATGGTAATTTTTTCCCAGTAGAAATCATGCATATTTCAAATATTATACAGGGAAAATAAGCATAATTTATAAGTATTAGAATACCTTCTTTACTACTGTTTTTATGCTACCTATAAGATGTAAGACATAGAGCACGTTTGAAATGGTTGGTTTTTCATTTGGGAAGATGTTTTTATTTTAGATATCTAAAATTATAAGCCATGTAAGCAAGTTTTTGGTTTTTTTTTTCTTTTTTGAGACAGAGTCTCGCTCTGTGGCCCGGGTTAGAGTGCTTGTGGCATCAGCCCAGCTCACAGCAGTCTCAAACTCCTGGACTCAAACGATCCTCCTTCCTCAGCCTCCCAGGTAACTGGGACTACCGGCACTCACCACCATGCCTGGCTAATGTTTTGTTTCTATTTTTAGTTGCCCGGCTAATTTTCTATTTTTAGTAGAGACGGGATCTTGCTTTTGCTCAAAGCTGGTCTTGAACTCTTGACCTCAAGTGATTGGAGGATCACTTAGCACTCTCAGAGTGCTAAGATTATAGACTTGAACCACCTCACCCTGCCTAAACAAGTTTTTAATTTGACTTTTTTTTTTATTTTGAGACAGAGTCTCGCTTTGTTGCCCGGGCTAGAGTAAGTGTCGTGGCGTTCGCCTAGCTCACAGCAACCTCAAACTCCTGGGCTCAAGCAATCCTCCTGCCTCAGCCTCCCGAGTAGCTGGGACTATAGGCATGCACTGCAATACCTGGCTAATTTTGAATTTTTTTTGTAGAGATGAGCTCTCACTATGTTACCCGGGCTACTCTCGAACTCCAGGCCTCAAGTGATCCTCCCACTTTGGCCTCCCAGAGTGCTAGGATTACAGGCGTGAGCCACCGCGCCCAGCCTGGCTTTTTTTTTATTTTTTAAAGTTTTTAAAATTTTTGTAGAGATGAGCTCTCACTATGTTACCCGGGCTACTCTCGAACTCCAGGCCTCAAGTGATCCTCCTGCCTTGGCCCCCCAAAGTGCTGGGGTTATATGTGTAAGCCACCATGCCCACCTCCTTTATATTCTTAAAAACTGAGGACTCCCCAAGACATTTTGTTTTCATGGGGTTGAAATAAAAACTGATAAATTTTTAAAATTTTTACTTAGTTTAAAAATAACAATAAACCCATTACATGTTAACATAAATAACATTTAAACAAAAACTATGGTTTCCAAAACAGCAACAATAAAATTGAGTGAGAAGAGTGGGATTGATTGCTTTACTTTTTTGCAAATCTCTTTACTGTCTGACTTACTAGAAAACAGTTGGATTCTCATGTCTCCTTCTGCATTTAATCTGTTTTGTAATGTGTTCTTTTTGGGGAAGTATTTGGAGAAGTGGTTGGAATTGTGAGTATTTTAATAGTTTTTCTCCACATTATTATGGATATTCTTGAGAGTCTACCGATTTATCTTGCACTCTGAATGAATCTTTTATCCATTTTTATAATGGCATGCATTGGTCATTTGGAAAATATTGGTTCACTAAGTTATGCAGATCTTCCAAATGTTTCCAGATCTGTCATTTAAGATATTAAAATAACATGCTCATTAATTTCACCAATAATCTTATTAGAAAATTCTTTTAAGTACTGGGAAGCTATCAAGCTCAGAATAGTGATTATAAATTATTCAAAATTCTAATTTTGGCTTGATTAGCCTTTTTTTTTCTTTTTTTGAGACAGAATCTCCCTCAGTCACCCTGGGTAGATTGTAGTGCCATCATTGTAGCTCACAGCAACCTCAAACTCCTGGTCTCAAGTGGTCCTCTTTTCTCGGCCTCTTAAGTACTGGGACTACAGGCACTCACCATGATGCCTGGCTAATTTTTCTATTTTTAGTAGAAACAGGGTCTTGCTTTTGCTCAGGCTGGTCTTGAACTCCGGAGTTCAATCAGTCCTCCCTCCTCGACCTCCCAGAGTGCTAGGATTACAGGCGTGAGCCACCTCGCCTGACTGAGAGCTTTAATTTTAATCATTAGCAACAAATACAATTGGTTGTTTTCATTACCGTAACAGGCTTAGTTTATTTGTTTTTGATGAAATGTTGACCAAATATCCAAGTCTAAATAACTACTATTGCCTTATCATTCTTTCCAGTGAAAATAAATAAAGCAGCTAGTTCAGTTAGTGATTCAGTGCTTTTCCTTGATCACCTCGGGTCTACAGCAGAAATGTTTTATGTGTGGTTGCCATTTGTTACACACAATATTAAAAGGTGTCTACTGAAAACTCAAGATTTAGTAAAATTAATTTTTGTTATTTCATCAAGGAAATTTTAAAGTGAAACTGGTTTAGGCTGGGTGCGGTGGCTCATGCCTATAATCCCAGCATTTGCTAGGCTGAGACAGGAGGATTGCTTGGGGCCAGGGTTTAAGACCAGCAAGAACAACATAGCAAGACTCCACCTCTACTTAAAAAAAGAAAAATTAGCCAGATGTAGTGGCACACACCTGTACTCCCAGCTATTTGAAGGGCTGAGGATTGCTCGAGCCCAACATTTTCAGGTTGCAGTGAGCTTTGATGACACCACTGTGCTCCAGCCTGGGTGACAGTGAGATCCTGTCTCAATAAATAAATAGAGAGAGAGAGAGTGAAGAGAGAGAAAGAAACTGTCTCTCTCTTTTTAGCTGCAAGTTCTTTACATAGCAATGTAGAGTATAATGACTATTTCACTTTGTCATTGCCTTTTTACCAGCAGTTTTACCCTCTTGTTGTTTTTAGACCATCTGTTGAAATCTCAGCGTAATGCAAAAGGCCCCCTAAAAATCTTGGTATTAATGTGAAAATAATTTAGACCTCACAGACCCCTGAAATACTTGAGAGTACAAAGCATTACGTAAGGGTTCCTCAGTTTTTTGAAACTGATGTTATAGACTTGCAATAACATTCTAAAAATACAATCTTAGCCTGGTTAAAATAACTTAAAAATTAAAGAAAAAAAACAAAAACCAAATCCCAAGGTCCCCAAACCAAATAATTTCCTATTTCTTATGCTAAGACTCTTATGTCTTCACTTCTTTATTTTAATTAATTAATTAATTAATTTATTTATTAAGGCTAATCAAGTGAAGCAGTGGGAGTGGAGAAGGAACAAAAGAATCTGTAACTGGTTGTGATCAGTTAGTTATAAACAGCAGTGCACTTGGACCAGCCAAGAACCATGCACTTCTTAATTGTTCTTAACAAACTATAATAATGTAGCATTATTCTGCCAGTCAACTCTTCTCTCATTTTGTTTATCAGATTAAAAAAAAATCATCCCTTCATTGTATTCTCTATGAATAAACATCTCTATTATTTATGTTTACTCATTTCATAGGTAACATAAAAAAATGTCTATTTAATGATGGACTTTACTACTTGTAAAAGCTTGCTGTGTCTACAATGATGAATTATACACTTTGCCCCTTTTAAAGTCTTTGCAGACCAAAAAAATTTTTTTTCCCTCTCATTTCTCAGGATGCAAAAATCGAAGCAGAAGAATTTACTAGGAAACTATATGTTGAACTGAAGTCTTCACCTCAACCTCACCTAGTTCCTTTTCTTAAGGTAGTATTATATGTTACTTAGAAGAAATAGTTTGGGTTAGAGTACTATAAAATAATTTAAAACCTGAGTATTTCAATATGATAATGTGAAGATACTAACAGTGAGGAAGAAACCTCATAAAGCACATTCATAGTATTCTTTTCATTTGAAAACTCTGGAAAAAACAGAAGTGTCTTATTCCTGAACATAACTTAATGATTTTGTTGTTTTATGCTTATACAGGAATATACAGGCATACCACAGAGATATTACAGGTTGGGTTCCAGACCAACATAATAAAGCTAGTATCTTAATAAAGTGAATTATATGTATTTTTTGGTTTCCCAGTGCATGTAAAAGTTATGTTTATACTATACTGTAGTCTATTAAGCGTACAACAGCATTATATCTTTAAAAAATGTGCATACCTTAATTAAAAATACTTTATTGCTAAAAAATGCTAATGATTATCTGAACCTCTGGTAATTATTTTGATGGTAGAGGGTCTTGCCTCAGTGTTTAAGGCTGCTGACTGATCAGGGTGGTGGTTGCTGAAGGTTGGGGTGGCTGTGGCAATTTCTTAAAATAAGACGATGAAGTTTGCCACATCCATTGACTCTTCCATTAACAAAAGATTTCTCTGTAGCATGCAATGCTATTTGATAGCATTTTACCCACGGTAGACCTTTTTTCAAAATTGGAGTCAATCCTCTCAAACCCTGCCACTGCTTTATCAACTAAGTTTATATAATATTCTAAGTCCTTTGTTGTCATTCCAATAATACTCATAGCATCTTCACCAGGAGGAGATTCCATCTCAAGAAATAACTGTCTTTTATTATCCATAGGAAGCAACTCCTCATCTGTGAAAGTTTGATCATGAGATTACAGTAGTTCAGTCACATCTTTAGGCTCTACTTCTAATTCTAGTTCTCCTGTTATTTCCACCACTTTGCTTTTTTTTTTTTTTAAAGACAGGGTCTCACTCTGTTGCCCAGGCTGGAATGTACTAGTATGATTATAGCTTACTGTAACCTCAAACATCTGGGCTCAAGCGATCCTTCTACCTCAGCCTCCTAAGTAGCTGGAACTACAGGTGCATGCCATCGTGCCCAGCTAATTTTTCTTACTTTATTTTTTTAGAGATCAGAGTCTTGCTATGTTGCCTAGGCTGGTCTTGAACTCCTGGCCTCAAGCAATCCTCCTACCTTGGCCTCCCAAAGTGCTGGGGTTACAGATGTAAGCTACTGTGCCGGCCCTCCACTGAAGTCTTGAACTCCTCCAGGTCATACATGAGGGTTGGACTAAACTTCCAAACTCCTGATAATGTTAACATTTTGACCTCCTCCCACAAATCACAAATGTTCTTAATGGCATCCAGAATGGCAAATCCTTTCTAGGTGGTGTTTAGCTTGCTATGCCCAGATCCATCATAGGGATCACTATCTATGGCAGCTATAGCCTTACAAAATGTGTTTCTTAAATCATAAGACTTAAAAATTTATATTACTCCTGGATCCATGGGCTGCAGAATGGATGTTGTGTTAGTAGACATGAAAACAGCATTATTCTCTTTGTATATCTCCATCAGAGCTCTTAGGTGACTGGGTGCATTGTCATTGAGCAGTAAGTGCATTGTCATTGAGCAGTAATAGTTTGAAAGGAATTTTTTTTTCTGAGCAATAGGTCTCAACAGTGGGCTTAAAATATTCAGGAAACCATTCCGTAAACAGATTTGTTGTCACGCTGTAAATAGATGTGCTGTCATCCAGGCTCTGTTGTTAAGATTTGTAGAGCACAGGCAGAGTAGATTTTGCATAATTTCTTACAGGCCCTAGGAATTTTGAAATGGTAAATGAACATTGGCTTCTACTTCAAGTCACCAGCTGTATTAGCCTGTGACAAGAGAATCATCCTAATCCTTTGAAGCTTTGAAGCCAGGCATTGATTTCTCTCTGAAAAGCTGTGAAATGCCTAGATGGCATCTTCTTCTAATATAAGTCCATTTTGTCTCCATTGAAAGTCTGTTGTTTAGTGTAACCACCTTTATCAGTGATTTTTTTTTTTTTTTTGAGACGGGGTCTTGCACTGTCTCCCCGGCCAGAGTATAGTCATGTCATCATAGCTCACTGCAGTCTCAGACTCCTGGAGACTACAGGTGCACGCCACCATGCCTGGCTAATTTTTCCATTTTTTGTGGGGACGGGCTCTCACTTTTGCTCAGGCTGCTCTCAAACTCCTGAGCCCAAGCAATCCTCCCACCTTGGCCTCCCAGAGTGTTAGGGTTATAGGCTAGAGCTACCTCACCTGGCCCGTCAGTGACCTTAACTAGATCTGGAAACTTGTCGCAACTTCTGCATCAGCACTTGCTGCTTCACCTTGCGCTTTTTTGTTGTTGTTGTTACGAAGATGGCTTCTTTCCTTAAACCTCGTAAACCAACCTCTCTGTTAGCTTCAAATTTTCCTTGTGCAGCTTTCTCACCTCTCAGCCTTCATAGAATTGGAGAGAGGGCCTTGCTCTGGATCAGGCTTTGGCTTAATGGAGTGTTGGGGCTGGTTTGATCCTCTATCCAAACCACTCACTTTTTTCATTTCAGCAATAAGGCTTTTTCATTTTCTTACCATCTATGTGTTCACTCGAGTAGCACTTTTAATTTCCTTCAAGAACTTTTTCTCTGCGTTCACAACTTCACTAACTTTTTGGCACAAAGAGGCCTACCTTTCAGCCTATCTCAGCTTTCAATGTGCCTTCTTCACTAAGTTTAATCATTTCCAGCTTTTAATTTAAAGTGAGAGACATGTGACTTTTCTTTTTACTTGAATACTTAGAAGCCAATGTAGGTTCATTAATTGGCCTGATTTCAGTATTGTTGTGTCTCAGGGAATAGGGAGGCCTGAGGAGAGAGAGACAGACGGAGAACAGCTTGTTGGTGGGGCAGTCAGAGCACATATAGCATTTATCAGTCAAGTTTGCTGTCTTTTATAGGTGTGGCTGTGGCACCCCAAAACAATTACAATAGTAATGTCAAAGATCACTGATCACAGAATGCTAAAATAGATATAATAACACTGAAAAAGCTTGAAATATGAGCATTACCAAAATGCCAGACACACGTAGTGAGCACATGGTGTTGGAAAAATGGTGCCAATAGACTTGCATACAGGGTTGCCACAAATCTTCAATTTGTTTAAAAAAAAAAAAAAAAAAGCAACATCTGAGGCACAATAAAGCAAAGAGCAATAAAACCAGGTATGCCTGTATGAAAAGAACCTTGACATTGTGTGTGAAAATAGGGCCCTCTGTTTTGTTCTAATGACATTTTTTCCCTTAGAATGATAATCCACATAGTGTCAAATTTGGCAGGAAGGCTTTTATTTTTAAAAATTAATTTATATTAGGCATATTCTTCTCTACAGTTTATTGACTTAAATAGAATTTTGATGAGAACAATAACTTTGATAACCAAAGTTTGTTTTGGCAGACTAAAATAATATATTTCTCTTAGATATTCAGAAGTTGAAAAGGAATTAAATTGAACTTTATAAAGTCATTAGAGATCTAGGTTTATAGCAAACCAAAGACTCATCTCATAAATGTTTTTTCTTTTTTTTTTTTTTTGAGACAGAGTCTCACTCTGTTGCCCGAGGTAGAGTGCCGTGGTGTCAGCCTAGCTCACAGCAACCTCAAACTCCTGGACTCAAGCAATCCTCCTGCCTCAGCCTCCCAAGTAGCTGGGACTACAGGCATGTGCCACCATGCCCGGCTAATTTTTTATATATGTATTTTTAGTTATCCAGCTAATTTCTTTCTATTATTTTTAGTAGAGACGGGGTCTCGCTCTTGCTCAGGCTGGTCTCAAACTCCTGAGCTCAAACAATCCTCCTGCCTCGGCCTCCCAGAGAGCTAGGATTACAGGCATGAGCCACCACGCCTGGTCGCATCTCATAAATTTTGATACAATAGAATGAGGAGTTACCTTTACAAAATTTTGAGTCAATTGTATAGAGGAGACGAAAGAGGCTGCATAGCGAAAGACTCCTTTGGTTGCCTCATAAAGGAAGAATGGGAAGGAGGATGAAGGCACCACATTTTCATAGGGATGTTTAAATAGTGGACACTGGCTCTGGGCGAGCAAGTTGATTAGGAGGGTGCAAATCATGTGATGTGAAGTGTGGCTAAAGATACTGAGAATGTTTTCGCTAGAGAACATTTGGTTTGGGGAGGGGAACGTTGAAGGATCAGTGCAATATCTAATATGCATGGTTTAAGCACATCTCCATGAAAGAGATTTGACCTTTGTAGTTCTAGAACAGTGGACTCCAACCTTTTTGGCACCAGGGAGCAGCTTAATGGAAGATGATTTTTCCACAGTCCAGGGTGGCAGGGGTTGTGAGGGAGGCAGAGCTCAGGTGGTGATTTGAGCAATGCAGAGCGGCTGGAAATACAGATCACTTCCTGCTGTGCGGCCTGGGTCCTAACAGGCCACAGACTGGCACCAGTCCAAGGCCCGGGGGTTCTAGAAGAACCCCATAGCTAGGATTGGATAGATTTGTCCAGAAATGTGATGGGCTGCTTTGTGAAATGACTGATGCCCCTTTTCTGGATGATACTCTTGATTGAGGAGTTATAGACAATTCTTTCTTGGGTCCCTTTCAGTCCAAAGGTTCTACGAACTATATAGGTATTGTATATCTCAATGACAACTCTCTTGAGTTTATCTATGTTTTTTACTCATTGGATACAGTGCACAGTAGAAGGTGGAAAATTAGTAACCACTGATTTTCAGATGCATTGCTAGACAGTTTATATTTAATTTGCATTATTTACACTTAATTTTCATATTAGTTTTTTGGGAATAGGTGCTAGATAATATTTATATTATGGTATTGTCCATTTTAGAGAAGAGAAAACCACTTAAACTGACTAAATTTCTTTTTCTTTTTTTCTTTCTTTTTTTTAAAACGAGTCAAGGTATTGCTCTGTTGCCCAGGCCAGAGTACAGTGGTGTACCACAATTAAGTGTTTAGCTCACTTAGCACTCCTGGGTTCAGGCGATCCCTCCACTCTGCCCCCAGAATGCTGGGATTTAGCCTCCACGCTCAACCTAAATCAACTAACTTTTGATCAAACTCACATGTCCAGAATTTAGGCTGTTTCACTCACTAGATAACACTACCTTTAAGTTACCAGATATCACCATGAGGTATTTGCACTTTGTATTTGTTTTCTAGACATCTATCTATATGTCTTTGTTTCTTGAGAATTTTTTTCCCTCATCCTTGAGAGCTTTGGGGGTTGGATGTTTCATAGGGATGAGGGGTTCAACATTTAAGCTTAACCCTGGCAGGTGAGCAAGAGAGAATTCAGATATGCACTTACATTGTTTGTCTCTTCAACATTTCCAATTATGTTCTCAGAATCCCCTCATTACATTTTCTGTGTAATCTTACTTAAACTGTTTATTCATATATTTCCAAAGCAGTTTGTATTCTGCCGTTTTTAAATTTTAAAAAAAGATTATGAGGGATTTTTGGTCTTTTACTTTCTTTTGTTACCTTTTTATTTATACTTTTTGGAAATTTCTTCAGATGGGAATGTCTTTTTATAAAGTAAAGGAATGGAGCAATAGTTATTTGCTTCTTAAGTAGGGACTGTGGTTTTAGTTTTCATTTTTTGTTTTGTGAGCCTTTCCATTGTTTCTAGCTTTTACTAGGCACTCTGAATTTAAATGTCACAACAAGGCAGTCTTCCACCACCCGGGAAGATAACCTACCATTTATCTACTTCTGTGTCTTTTTTCTTACACAAAACAAACAAAAACCTTGTGGATCAAAAGGTAGAACCTACTAGATTTTAGTTTAAATTGCCTTTTCTCTTTCAGCAAGATGCAAAGATAGACACTGACTTAAAATCCAGTCAGAAAACATGCTAGCTCAGTTAAGGAAATTCTTTCAGATCTTAAAATTCACTTCGTATTAGTTTTATTTTGATGTAAAGACTGTCTAACGTTTGAAAGTAACTTAACAAAAAGTGATTCTCCTGTGATGTAAATGTAAATAAACTTATAGTTACTGAAGTTATTAATAAATCCATTATGGGGTTTAGATGACTATAGAAAAGTATGATACAGTCTTTTGTTTTACCAAATTTATATTGAGGTATACAAAATAAGCTTCACACTGAGACATAATAATTTCATATTGAAAAATAAAGCACTTTTGGGTCTTAAATTGATTGGATTCTGGATATTGACAGGATTTAAATAAGTGATATCAGGTGTCTTCAAGTGAAATACTTGATACACTTTCGGTTGGTTTCGTTATTAAAGATATGAAATATAAAGTTTTGTTTTGTTAGTAGCTGATTTGTTTAGTTACCAGTGTTTTTTTCCCTCCCCTGTGTTTCTAGAAAAGTGTGATTGCCTTACGACAACTTCTGCCTAACTCGCAGAGCTTCATTCAGCAGTGTGTTCAGCAGACCTCTAGCGAGGTAGTCATTGCAACCTGTACTGCAACAGTAACAACTGCTCCTGTGGTGACAACAACAGTTGCCTCACTCCAGTCTGAAAAGCCCATCATCGTTTCTGGAGTGACAACACCCAGAACTGTGTCATTGCAAACTCTGAATCCACTTGCTGGGCCAGGGGGAGCAAAGGCTGGAGTCGTGACACTTCATTCCATGGGCCCAGCTGCTGTACCAGGAGGAACAACAGCTGGAACTGTATTGCTTCAGACTTCCAAACCACTTGTGTCATCTGTACCAAATACAGTTACAACAGTCTCACTTCAACCAGAAAAGCCAGTTGTCTCTGGATCTGGAACAGCAGTAACACTGGCCCTTCCAACAGTAACTTTTGGAGAAACTTCAGCTGCAGCTATATGTCTTCCGTCTGTGAAACCTGTTGTTACTTCTGCTGGGACCACATCAGACAAGCCTGTCATTGGCGCTCCAATCCAAATCAAACTTGCCCAGTCCAGTCCTGTCCTTTCACAACCAGCTGGTATTCCACAAGCAGTTAAAGTCAAGCAGCTAGTGAGTAACGTTTCATTTCTGCCTCAATTATTTATTTTGAAAATTTTGAACGTTCACAAAACTGGCAGGACTGGTAAACAACTGGCAAGACTGTATCCTCTTTACCAAGTTTTACCAGTTGTTAATTTTTTACCTCATTTGCTTTGTCTCCCTCTTTCTACTCACATCCACAAATACACACATGATTTTTTGCTGACCATTTGAGAATTGGTTGCATAAATTATGACAGAGCATGTTGTATGTGTCTCTTAAAAGATGATTTTTTACACAACCACAACATACTTATTGTCACACACAGGATATTAAGTTTGGTATAATATTTCTCCAGTTGTGCCAGTAATTTTTTTTATCCTGTTTTTAATGAAGAATTGCATATTACATTTAGTTAACATTTCTCTTTAGGCTCTTTTAACCCAGAATAGTTCTAGCTTTTTGTGGTTGTTCATTATGTTGCACTGTTTTTTTTTTTTGAGACAGAGTCTCACTGTGTTGCCTGGGCTAGAGTGCTGTGGCGTCATCCTAGCTCACAGCAACCTCAAACTCCTGGGCTCAAGCAATCCTTCTGCCTCAGCCTCCTGAGTGGCTGGGACTACAGGCATGTGCCACCATGCCCGGCTAATTTTTTCTATATATTTTTAGTTGTCTGATTAATTTCTTTCTATTTTTAGTAGAGACGGAGTCTTGCTCTTGCTCAGGCTGGTCTCGAACTCCTGAGCTCAAACAATCCACCCTCCTCGGCCTCCCAAAGTGCTAGAATTACAGGCGTGAGCCACCGCACCCGGCCTATGTTGCAGTGTTTTAAGTGCCCAGGCTAATTGTTTTGCAGAATGTCCCTTTATTTTGTTTTATCTGTTTCCTCAAGATTAGATTCAGGTTAAATATTTTTGGCAGGGGTATTATATAGGTGATATTATGGTAACATTTCTTTTAAAAATAGTGCTGAGGAGAGAGAGAGACAATGAGGGGAGTAAATAAGTAAGAAGTTGTTTTTTCCCTAAACTTTGTAGATTGGGAGCTTCTTGGGTAAAGGAAGGAAATTTTGGCTGTTTATCAATTAGTATTTAGAATGTTCTGCTTAATTCAAGAAAAGGTAAGTTTTGTCAAAGGACTTCGAAAGTATTATTAGCCCACAGGAGATACACTACATGGTGAATTAATCAAAAATTATAATATTTTTTAGTACAGTTCCCTACCTTATACCATAACAGAGCTTGCTGTTCTTTTGAATTTTGGTAATTGCCCTTGTTGTGTTAGAGGCTGTGTTTTGAATCTCTTTGTTTTAGTTCATTCTGCTTCTTGGGATAGTAAACTCTGTAGACTTCCCAGACATTTGTGTGACAAGGATAAGAGGTTACTATCTGTGGATGACCGTCTTGTGATGACCGTTTTTGAACATAGAACAAAAGGGGGGAAGATCAGTGACTAGAACTGGAGACTAGTCGAACTCTTGGGTAGGTAGAAAGTAATAGTCATTTCCTGGGCACTAATCTTTTCACATCCCTTCCTACTCTGGGTGTGATTTTCAAATGGAGAATTGTATCTACTGTGTAGAATTTCTTTTGGCTGCCTAAATTTAATCTCTGATATGAAACAACATTGTAAGAAGCAGCGATTTTTAAATATTGTTTTGGGCAGCCAGGTTTGGGAACCGCTGAAACAGAGGAATTGGCTCAAGGAAAGGCCTCTTTTTGGTGGCACTGAACAGAGCTGAAATCCTCTTTATGTGTCTTAGCTGATTCTTGAATCAACGTTAATCTTTATTGAACATCTATAGCATGTAGGTCCCTGTGGTGAAATAATGCTTTATAGCCACCTGGAGCTTTAACAGTGTGTCATTTATATGCTGTGGGTTTTTAAATAATTTTATGATGAGAAAAATGCAGGAAGAAAACTGCAGAAATTCTAAGTGGCAGCCAAGTAATGGATCTCAGACTAGAACCCAGTGACTTTTTAAATTAGGTCACGGTGTTCCTGGCAGGAACTTCTGGATTTCTGGTATGTCCTGAAGCAGAAAACTGTCTGGTAATAATATCTTGACAGCATTTACGTTTCATGGGTTTGACTTGATATACATTAGAAATCATTTCAATAAAGAAAAAATGTGACAAAATCTGATGTTAAATATTTGGGGTTTTTTACTTCCTACTTTCATTCTTAAAAGAGTATGGAATAACTTAATTTTCCCTGTGAATTCTGCTTTCTTGTTTTGGCCTTTATTTCAATTTTATACAACAGATTTGATGTTAGTATTCATACCTACCTACTTAAAATGGCAAAAGCCGGAGTAGCTGGACACTGAAGATCCACTATAATTTATTTCACAACAGATTTAGGGACAAAACATCATAAATTGTTCTGTATGGTAGTGTCATAGAGAGGATTGAACTAGGACATTCTTTCAAATCAACTATTTTAGAAAGCTAGTATTACTCAAGTTTGAAAATAATTAAAGAATATCATCAGTCCAATTTAACCCTAGATCTAAGTGAGGAGGAAAACACTCAGGGTGCTAGAAAATAAGAAAGGGTTCCATGTAGCTTATAAGAAATAGGACATATAACCATTTAAAATGAGAATTGCCACATTGGATCAAATCTGTGGTGCATGCAATTCAGTCTGGTCTGAAGAATACACGTATGGCTATCTGGTTTGATGCCAGATTTAAAATTTTTGTAATTTGTTTCCTTTAATCGTGGATTTAAAAATTCCTTCTTAATATTTATTTCTCAGTTGTGTTAGTTCTTCTAGAGAATCATATAGATCTCCTGCCTCTTGGATAAGATGTTTAAATATAGTATTTTCAAGTTATAAGAATAATCCGCTCAATCTACCATTCTAGGGTTTAGATTTTATATTTTATGAAATGATTAATTTTTATCCCCTCATCACTTTAAAAAAACTTAGGTTTATCACTACATGCTATCTTTTCTCATTGATTATTGTATATTATCCTCTGGGAAGTAAATTAGCTAGAATTGTTCACAATTTTTTTTTTAGGTGTACATTTTTCATTTTGTACCAGCAGTATAGCACTTATTATATATTTTGGTCCTCAAACGCTTGAACTGTTTAAGTATTGATCTAATCAGTAGTACTGAGGATTTCACCAAACAATCTAGTTCTTACAAATGTTTAATCTTTATTGGTTATCTATCGGTTCTGGAATAGTAGTTGCTATATGATGTTAGGACATCAGTGTAAATGTTGAGCTTTAACATTTTACCTTTGAGTTGTTGAAAAGTTAATGAAAGAGTGAATGACTGGGATTATGATAGATAGATAATGAGTAGAAGCTTTCAGGAGACTTGATGCTTGAAAGATTTCCTTTGGATATTTTTGGAAAAACTTATTATATTTGAGCAAAAGCTAAATTTTAAATTAAATTTAATTAGTAAAAGCTAATTTACTTTAGAAAAACTAAACTTTAATTTCAGTCTGCTTATTTTTAAAATCTAAATTTTGATTAATTTTTATAACCAATTTTATCACATAAAATTAAAAAATAAAGCCCCTCAAATCTATAGGATATACAAACAAAATTTATGAATGGGAAAGTTTAACCTAAAATACCTAGTCTTTATTTTTGGCAAAAAAGGCTGATAATTTTGGAGAGTAAACTGGATATTATTACTCTTAATTGGCCGGGCGCGGTGGCTCACGCCTGTAATCCTAGCACTCTGGGGGGCCCAGGCGGGTGGATAGCTCAAGGTCAGGAGTTCGAGACCAGCCTGAGCAAGAGCAAGACCCCCGTCTCTACTAAAAATAGAAAGAAATTAGCTGGACAGCTAAAAATACATATATAGAAAAAATTAGCCGGGCATGGTGGCGCATGCCTATAGTCCCAGCTACTCGGAAGGCTGAGGCAGGAGGATCGCTTGAGCCCAGGAGTTTGAGGTTGTTGTGAGCTAGGCTGATGCCACGGCACTCTAGCCAGGGCAACAGAGGCAGACGCTGTCTCAAAAATAAAATAAAATAAAATATTACTCTTAATTATCTTCTCTTTATTTAATACTTAGGTGTCTTTAAGAATAATTTATACTTGGAGATAAGGCAAGAAGTTTTAGTATTATTAGGTTATTAAGTATGAAATGTCCGATTTCCTTACGTACTAAGTTTGACAATTGATATCTCTGACATTTCACTTTGACACTTCTTGTTTTATTATGAAGGTACAACCTCATTCTTTAAAATGCACAGTTTGGCTTGAGATTATCCTTTAAAGTTTTTTTTTAGAGCAATTTTTGTGAAACCCTGGATAAGTTAAAAATCTGTGTTATTTTTGAATATGAGTTCTGTCGTGGAACCAATGCAGTGTAGACAGCTTGAAATATCAACGAAGTGTTTGGGAAGGATGTGGCTAATGAACATGTAGTATGTTGATGGTTTGAGAAGTTCC